GAATAGTTGAGTACCTCCGGTCATTGGGAATCCATGTTATCTTTTTGCCTCCGTATACACCGTTTTTCAATCCAATCGAGTATATTTTTGGATACTGCAAGAAAACTACAACGTGTCTACGTAGAAAATAGCTCTTCGGATCTCACAACAACCATTTCTGCGACGTTAAATACATTCACGAACTTTAACTGCACTCGTGTATTCCGCAAATGCGGATATCTGCCAGGTGGGAAATTCAATCCGGCAAACGGACTAAGTCAAAATATCGAATCATTCGGATTTGAGAATGTACGTTATAAGGATTAATAAACAATAAATCAAATAATCAAATGTTGTTCACCTTTTTTTTATTTCATAAACTCAAAACAAAGAGATGTTCAATAAGCAACAGCTTCAATCAGTTGGTCGTCCCGAATGCGTATGGAATCGTTCGGAATCAGGATCAGCAAATCGTTATTGATGGTCGACATCCAAGCAGTCGGTCACTTCCTCGGCGAGTTTCTGCCCAAAGCTATCTTCAGATACAGCAATACTGCCAGACACATCTGCTAGCAATGAAGTGTTAGTTGCCTGCATCGTTTGCAATGCGGTCAAGCGCAATTGCATCGCCTTAGCATATGTCATAAGCTGGTCCAAATCTGCTTGCAGGCCATCCAACAATTGTTTATACCCTGAATTAACATTTTGGGCAATGCATACATCCTGACGAGTGTGATTCAGCACGTTTTGAGAGCATGAGGGAACCGTCTGGAACAAATGTATCAGATGTTGGGGAGGTCCTCGCAACTTCAATTCCTCTCGTTCAAGCGCGTCTTTGGTCAGTAAGTACGAAGCCCATACAGACCAGTTGATGTCCGATGAAATGTAGGATAGCTTGTAGAGTTCCTTCAACTCAGTGGACAAATTACTGTTTGCCTGGTTGGATGCTGCTCCTGCTCGGTCACGCTCCTCCGGTTTTATCAGCTGCACTCGCAGTGTTTCGTACATAGCGGCTGAGGTCACCGACTCCGAATAAATGTGCACAAACACGTTAATATCTCTGTTCAGAAATTTCTGCATTTTGTCTGGCTTTTCTAGCAACTGTAATGGTTTAAACGTGCGTTTCGAGGCTTTATCTTGGAAGGAGATGAACTTATTCATATCGCCGACTTCTGGGTTCAAATCATCATTCCAGTGCACGGTAAATTGATCAGCATCTCCACCAGCGAGTGATTCAAACACGGCCTCTCTGCGAATGAACTTTTCACAGTAATTCCACACAGTTTGCATTACCTCCTCAGCTGATTCACAGTTCACTTGCACTTTTCCCACAGAAGGACCTTTTTTGTGGCCCTTGAAGTTTCTGATGAATACAGTTGCTGGGAATCGAAATATTTGTTTTGGCTCCGCTTGTTCACTTTCACTTCCAGGGCTTCCGGGCGAAGCAGAATCCAGTGTATCCTGGAACGATCGTTTTGCCTGCTGCACATTTGATGGTCCTGCTTCTGCTTCTTCCTCCAGAAATTCTACCTCGTAGTCAACCTCCCGTCCCTCCAGTCCTACAAAAGTTGGAGACATATGCATGATGGCACATCTGAAAAAGAAACACTTATTATGAAATGCATTTCATTTGAATTGATACGAAAAATATTTTACCTGCGATTCAAAGCCGACGTCGAACGGGCACAGCAGAAATCAAATGAAACCGCTAGGAAAAATGAGTTGACAGTTTGTTTTGTTTTGTTTGGTGAAGGGTAACTGATGGGTTGTTGACTATGTACGATTGCAAGTAATTTTTTTTATTTGTTGATTTGCAACTGTTTTATGTGAAATTATGATTCACTGGCCCGAAATACATATAGGTAATAACGAGTTGAAGCTTTAAGAAGGGTAACGTCAATATTTAAAGACAATTTTTGAAGCAATATAAGATTTCGTTCGAGTCAACTATCAGTCACATACCCTTGCGCACAAAAGAGTGACAGCTGAGCAAATCAAGCTTTTGCTAGAATTTCTCGGGAACCACATTAATAGCACCATGGAGAGCGGATTTAGAGTATGGACGTCTTCAGCAAAGTTGATGAGTATGACATGCTTCATATTTTGAAGGCATGGGTTTTGTGATTAATCTCCCTAAAAGTGAAATGAAAAATTTATTTTTTCACAATGTCGAGATAAATGATTGACGTCTTCAGCGTTGTTTGAGGACGGACCCCCAAAAACACGTTTTTCACCAAAACACATATTTTCTTTAATCATTGTTCTCAACAAAGTTGATTGGTATACTAAAATACACATCTTTTTAGAACATACTATACCTGCATCATTTTAATAGGATGAGATATTGATAAATTTATTTTATTTTCCTCATATTTTGGACTTGCGCAAGAAGGTACAGATGAAGTCAAATGCTAAAACTACATCAAAAGAGCTTTCAAATGGTGGTAAACTTGTCCGTCCACGACCGTCTGCTGGAGAGTTATGATCAAAACAAACACCCGTTGATAGGCTTTATAGTAGTCATGTCAACAACAAGGGGATACTTTGTTTTATACCGCGTAATACATTCGTTTCCATAGTAACCGGCTCAATAAACAAATTTCCCATTTCTCAGAGCTTGTCAAATTCAAGAATGGCACATTTTCTTTTCAAAAGTTGCCCAGCAGGCAAAATTGAAGCATCAAGAACGAAAAAAAAAACTGTCAAATTCAGTTAAACTTGTGAGTCGATAAGTGTTTTTCCAAAGTGCTCATCACTGTTTTTCATCAAGCGTGAAGCAATTCTAGATAAACATTTCAAAAGGTCCTATCTGCATTCATCGATTCTCTTCATCGACTTTCTCTTTCGTTAATAACTCAGCTGCAAAACCTTTCGCTTTTGTATTTGACGTTTTGGATGCTAGATAAGAATCTCCTTTATCAAACTATGTTGTAAAATTAGCGCGAAATCTGTTTGCATAGCAGTGGTTATCAAAATAGAAAGTCGATGAAGATAATCGATCAAAGCTGATAGGACCATTTGAAATGTTCATTAATAAGTGTGAAAGTATATGAAAGCATGTAAGATAGAAGAACTGCGGAAACCAAGCGAAGGAGAGAGAGACTAATTCTGCCAAAGAAACCGGACAGCAGCGGAAGCTACGAGAGCAGGGCTTTGAATTAAAATGGCACTATCTGGAAAGGCTTAATTTCTTTTAATTTTTTCAATTCATCGTTAGATCACAACAAGTGCCAATGATCTTTTTTTTTTCTTGATTCAATTTAAGTTGAAATTGATAAGCGTGATCTCTTGTCACTCTGGACAAAAACGAGTGGAGGCCGATCATCAAAATTCAACTGCGTTTAGAAGAAGGCACTCCAGTGTTATGCCATAAATGTGAATATTATGCCGGTTGTTCCTTTCGAAGAATGTTGTGAAACAACGTAGAGGAAGAAAACTATAGAGGTTCGGAATAGCTACCATCTTAATGAGCTAGCATTTGCGACACAAATGAAGATGAGAGAATCAGGTAAGAAAGAGGTGACGAATATCCTGAAAAACGTTTCTCACGCAAGTCCTGCAGATGAAAATAAGTTGGTTCATTCTTTGAAGAAGTCCTTGAGCAACCCTATACCCGAATACACAGACCTGCAAGCTTTGGCTTTGTTAATCAACACCAACCTATCGAACCTGGTATTACTTGCCAGCTAGTATTCATAAAGTATTGATACATGGATCAGCCGTGATTGAACATTTCCTTGTTCTAATCGGTCAGCTTTCTGAGGAAGCACAGGAGGGAAGGAACAAGGATTGGAAGAGGTACCTGTATTTAACCAAAATAACAACGAATAAATTAATAAAACTTTTATTTAACAGATACCAAGAGTTCAATACCGCAAGCAATCAAGATCGCTTACAAATCGTGATCTATTGAACTGGCTCCTAGTATTATTAGATCCATTGACTACCAGCATTCGTGGATGGCCTAAAAAGCACGAGAAGCCATTGTCGAGCGATGCTAAACAGCTGCTAGCAGAAGAAGCTGAAGGAAACGATAATGATTATATTAATGGTTATGATTATTATAATAATGATGATAATTGAATACAATACAAAATATTGACAACAAAAATGCAAAACCAATCGAACAAAAAGAATTTTATCAAGAAAAATATGTGGATATATTGAAGTTGATTATCTTTTTTATATTGGTTAATCATAAAACAGAGTAAAGATTTAGACACTTGTTTTGATCACAACTCCCCAGCATACGGTTGTGGACGGACAAATTTACCACCATATGAAAGCTCTTTTAATGTAGTTTTAGATGCATTTGTTTTCATCTGCACTTTCTTGCACCTAAAATACGAAAGGCCAAAATATGAGGAAAATAGAAGAAAATTTATCAATAGGGTAGATGAACCAGTTATAGCTATAGTACCAATTATGGCTATAGTGAAGACATTTTATAAATTATCTGGAAAAAACTTCACATGATCATTCGATTAATGCTTACCAGTGTATTTTCAGACATGCCTGTACACTTTAATTATATAAAAATATATGTTCAGGACATTACAACCCGATATAAACGAGTTTGAAAATATGCATGCTTGCAAAAGTAATTTTTGTTATCCGATGGCTACGATACATGCAAATGAAATATTGATTTTTTTTCTAAAACAATAAGCCTTTTTTAACATTTTACTAGCGTAGACTTTTCATGCACGTGCTCGTTGTTCATGTTAGCAAGTAAAACATTTGAAATATGTCGAAAAAAATATAATTTTCGAGTATCACCATAGTAGGTACATTTTTCATTTGGTGTACCCATGATCGCTACAAGCGAAAGTACCTACTGCGATCTGTCACTTTTGGCCATAGCTCCATATTTACATGAGCGTTGTACTTGGAAAAGCAAGTGTTTAGTTGATTTCTCAGTGATTTCTCCTTTTTGCTCAGGATTTCTCATCTCAGGTATGAATAAACATTGATTTTACACACTAATAAGCATAATTATAGACAATTGTACTTCATGTAGAATGGCGAAAAGATCAGCATGTAAACAATACTCCGAAGTGGCTATCACATCATGCATCCGAAGCATAAAAGCTGGAAAATCAGTTTATGCCGGATGCAAAGAGTTCGGGATACCCTTCTCCACCATTCGATACAGACTAAGTGGCCAATGGCAACAAAAATTCAAGCCTGGACCACACTCGGTGCTATCAACAGAGGAAGAAAATAAAGTTGTCACATGGCTTTGTGGGATGCAGGACCGCGGATTTCCTGTTACACGTGAAGCGCTGATCTTCAAAATAGCAGAGTTTCTGTCAGCGAACTCACGGGAGAACCCATTCAAGAATAATCGACCAGGTATATTTTTATCTTTTTATTAGAAATTAGACCAATGAATACCAAAATAGGAAAATTTAATTGCTCTAGGACGAAAATGGTTTAAGGCTTTTTTGCGACGTAATCCAGGATTTTCTCTCCGAACACCGGAACAAGTATCAACCGCAAGTGGGCGAGTCACCGAAAATGATATTCGGGGTTGGTTTGAGACAGTGGACAACTGGTTGATGAAGAATGAATTGCGTGAAGTACTGGAGGATCCGACACGAGTGTTCAATGGGGATGAAACATCGTTTTACCTTCACCCCAGTACAAAGGAGGTTATTGCGCGGACAGGATCCCGCAATGTTTATGAAATTGAACAGGCAGCTGGAAAGCAAAATGTCACTGTGATGTTTACCTTCGGAGCATCTGGAGTTGTCGTAAGTCCTCACGTCATTATTCCGGGAAACCGTATCCGAAAAGAAGTGGCACAAGGTTTTCCATCTGATTGGGGCCTGGGTCAGAGTGAACGTGGATGGATGGACACGCACAACTTCCGTGAATACATCCTAAAAAATTTCCATCCATTCCTCGTGAGACAAGGTGTAAAGTTCCCAATAATTTACTTCGTCGATGGTCATTCTTCACACAAAACGGTGGAAGTAGCGGATATATGCCAGTCTTTAGGAATCGTGCTTATTTCTCTGTATCCAAACACGACGCATATTACGCAACTAGCTGATGTTGCCGTTTTTAAACCGCTGAAAAGTGAATGGAGAAAAGTGGTTGAAGAATGGAGATTAAAACATCAGGGTGAGTCACTTACATTGCGGCACTTCGGAGGGGTTCTGAACACAACGGTCGAAAGGGCAATCAAAAGCACTACAATTCAGAATGGCTTTCGAGCATGTGGTCTGCAGCCCTTTGATGCAAATTCAGTTGACTATACCAAGTGCATAGCGAAAACCCCGTCTTTGCCCAATGGATTGTTATCGAGTTCTCTTCAAGAACCTGTTTTACCACAAGCAACAAACGAACCGCTCCTCTCGCCGCTCCTATCAGAACACCTATCGAATCAAATGGGAAGTCCACAACCGTTGCCGATTTTGACTGAAGCTATGAATCAATTTGCATTATCTTCTGACTATGTGCGCATCCACATTGATAAAGTTATTGAAGCTTATAACTTGATTGGTAGCGAAACAATGGGAACAATTGAAGGCGATGTTAATAGACTCACACGAGAAGAACGCGTTATTCGTTTTTTCTATCGAGAATTTGTTCGGCCTTACGTTAAATTCGAGGACTTATCCACTTTGCAAGAAAATCGAAACTCGTCTTCGATGCAGCTTGATCTTGATGGGACACAGCATATCGAGTTACTTCAAGATCCTAGTTTTTCACCTTCAATACCTGCAGATACTGGTTCTAACGAATGTCAGATTATAAACATTGATAATTTGGACCCCTGCTATGAACGCTATGATGGATCTATTTTGATTGAGTTAAGTGCTGTACCGGCTGAACCCAATGAAGAAGACATGCATATACCAGAGTTTACAATGGACTGCACAATGCAATCCGTGGAAAATGCGACTGTTGAGCATACATCGGATGGCATCAATGATAGTGAGTACAAGTTTTTGAAAAATGCAAAATTTATTATGACTAACATTATTTCTATCACTAGATGTTATTCCCGATAATGATATGAACGATTCAACTGTATCTGTTTCAGTAACACCACAAGCTGATACTTTTCTGCAAGAGATCATTTTCAGAGGTAAAAGTGACTCCCAGTAGAAGAGCATTATGTATGTTTTTCGTTTATAATTATTTTATTCTTTAGATGCAACAGAAAACTCTATAGAATCGGGTAATCTTCTAGGCTGTACCGCTCCTGAGCGTAGGCTATCCGATATACTAAGACTTCCACCCACACCTCGTCGAAATGCAAAACATCGGAATTACTCAATACAGTACACCCCCGTTCTCACAGCTGGGGAACGTCTAAGAAAAAAAAAAAAGAAGCAGATAAAAAGGAGATTGAACAGACAAAGAAAAGGAATGCACTTGATCGAAAAGACGCAAAGATGAGTGTTCGAGCTACAATGTGACAGCTCGAATGTTTTATGGGAAGTGAAAGCGACCGAACCCCCGACTACTGCGATTTGTCTCCACACGCAATAACAGCGGTACTACCAACCTTTTCGTACCAATCGAATGTGTGGAGAGTGGAAGAAAGGGAAGGAGGACGACGAGTGAAGAGCAGCAGCAGCCAGCCGGAATTCGATCGCCCGCCATTCGAGTTTCAAACGCCGACGTGAAAGGTGCATTAAGGCACAGCTAATTAAATTAATCAAATATATGTAGTAAATAGAAACTTGAGTGTGTTGTCATATTCGATCCGAAAGATTCCGTTGTGTTACAGTCCACTGATCCAACATAAATTTGGTCCATCGAACCGGACAATTAAGTGGATTAAGAGAAGTGCGAATTCTGCCGGATCGGATATAAGAACGTTGTAAAAAAAAAGAAGTGCAAGATGATCAGCGGTCGCCATACTCGTTAAACAAAATACGTGTGCTGAGCCGCCATCTTGAAGACTAGGCACAAGGACGTAGTGAATTCGCCATCTTGTGAAAGTTGGCAAGCAAGACTATTATGCCGTGGCCATTAGTGGAAGTTGAATAAGAAGAGTGGTCACGATGAAGAATAGTGCGCACAAGTAAACCAGCGTGCTGATGAAAATAAGTGTTAAGTGCTTAGATGATAGCAAACTTGGTTGCTTTCATTCTAAACTGAAGGCTTGAAGTGATCATGTGTCCCCAGTGACATGTCGGAAGTTAAGGTTGATCCAAAAGATCTTTCAAGTACGTCTGGAATCACTGCACTTGGGCAGGTGAATCTGGATACCACAACCCCGAAGAGCAAAAGCAAAAAGAAGAAGCAGAATCTGCAAGAAAAATTGAAGAACATGGAGCAGGTCAATCTACTCGTCCACCGTCGAGGCCTTGCAAAAGGTAAGGTAACCAAAGTTTTGAATGCCATTAATCCACCAAATGATGAGCCTCCTGCACTGTCAGAGGCCCGAGTTAAAGTCCATCAGCGCAAGGTGGAATCTGCGTACCAGGAGTATAACGATCTCCATGACAAAGTCCTTGCACTGCTTAACGAAGATGGACGGCTCGCTCAGGATGAGCACTATGCTGCATTCGAAGAGCTGTACGATCAAGTGTCGTTGATCCTTGAAGAGCGACAAAATGACCTTCACAGAAACGCTAGAGAACCGAATGTTGGAGCACATCCCCAAGCTCCAATGATTGTGCAACAACCTCTTAGAATGCCCATACCTACGTTCGACGGACGATACGAAACATGGCCCAAGTTCAAGGCCATGTTTAAAGACTTGGTTGACAATGCACCGGATTCCCCAGCAGTGAAGCTCTATCACCTGGACAAAGCGCTGGTGGGATCAGCAGCTGGATTGATAGACGCCAAAACCATTAATGAAGGTAATTACGCCCACGCTTGGGTGATACTAGAGGAAAGGTACGAAAACAAGCGACACACGATCGGCAAGCACATTGATGGCCTTTTATCCTTGAAAAAGATGACTAAAGAGAGCCATACCGAGTTGCGTAATTTGGTGGACGAGTGCACAAGGCACGTCGAAAGCTTGAAATTCCTCGAGCAGGAATTCCTCGGTGTATCGGATCTGTTCCTGGTACATCTGCTAACTGCAGTATTGGACAAGGATACGCGTAGACGCTGGGAGTCAACCATAAAGCATGGTGAACTGCCCACCTACGAAGGAATGGTGAAGTACCTCAAGGAGGAGTGCTTCGTCATGGAACGGTGCGAGTCTACGAGCCACAAGCAAACTCAGGCCAAACCAGCACCATCACCCAAGTCGTTTACCCAGAAGGTTAATGCGGCCGTTACCTCTGGGTATGAAACTAAGTGTGATTTCTGTGGCAAGGGTCATCCAAATTTCGCTTGCCCAGATCTCAAAGCAATCACCGTTCAAGAAAGACTGGCCAAGGTTCGAGAGCGCAATAAGTGCTTCAACTGCCTTCGGCGAGGGCATCGTGGAAAGGATTGTACATCCGAAAAAACGTGCAACAAATGCAAAAGGCGTCACCATAGTCTTCTCCATGCCGAGGATGGAGTGAAGGCAAATACGGATAGCAAGAACACTACCAGCAGACCGGAAGAACAGAAGCCAGAAGAGCAAGCAACTGATCAAGCTCAGCTGACGAGTGCCACCTGTTCCTGTGAAGGAGTTTCAATGCAGCAAGTTCTACTACTCACAGCAGTTGTAAACGTTATGGATCAAAACAACAAGTCCCACTCATGCCGTGTTTTATTGGATTCCGGGTCACAAGCGAATTTGGTAGCACGATCCACAGCCGAAATGCTTGGATTGACGCAAAGTCCGACGTCGGTTATCGTGGCTGGAGTAAATAGCACCAGCAGCAAAGTTTCCAACAGTACCGTCGTCCAAATCCGGTCCAAGTACTCCAAATTTAGAGCAAACGTCCAGTGTTTGATTGCGGACAGAGTTACGTCAGACCTTCCTACGTCCATGGTAGATGTTAAGAATTGGGAGTTGCCTGTAGGAGTGCAGCTCGCTGATCCTAAGTTTTATGAGCCTGGGAGGATTGACATTCTGTTGGGTAACCAGTGGTTTTTGAGATTGCTCCTACCGGGAGAGTATTCAGATGCTGATGACCTACCGGCATTACGTGAAACTCAACTTGGTTGGGTTGTTGGAGGTGTGTGTGGTAGAGTGGTGAATGCGAACTTCACTCATTCGCACGCGGTAACATTGGAAGAGTTAAGTGAATCGATCCAACGCTTCTGGGAGTTCGAAGGCGTACCGGAAGACCTGAAGAAAACTAGTGAAGAAGAAGAATGCGAGGCGCACTTCATGGCAACCCATTGGCGTGATGCGTCTGGCAGGTACGTGGTTCAAGTTCCCCTTCGGGATTGTGTGGATAAACTTGATGACGGTCGAGCTCTTGCGTTGCGAAGATTTCATGCTCTGGAAAGAAAACTCGATCAGCAATCAGATGTCAAGCAACAATATGTGGATTTCATGGAAGAATATCAAAGGCTGGGACATTGCAGAGAAGTCAATGAAGCCGACGATTCGCCTGGTATGTTGAAGTGTTACCTACCCCACCACGCCGTTCTTCGACCATCGAATACTACAACTAAGTGTCGTGTGGTGTTCGATGCTTCGGCCAAATCGTCCGGCCTCTCGCTGAATGAAGTTCAGAAGGTAGGTTACAACGCACAAAATGACTTGAATTCCATCGCTATGCGCTTTCGCATACCACGATATGCTCTTACGGCAGATGTGCAAAAAATGTTTCGTCAATTTCTGTTGGATAATTTGCACACTCATCTGCACCGTGTATTTTGGAGAAATAATCGCAACGACGTCCTGAAGGTCTTGGAGCTTATCACAGTAACCTATGGTACTGCTTCGGCGCCTTTTCTCGCCACGAGGGCACTCAAGCAATTGGCCAACGACGAAAGAGGAACGTATGCATGAGCAGCTGAGATTGTCGACAAGGAATTCTACGTTGATAATGCTTTGTTTGGGTGCGATGATTTCGGCGAAGCAGCGGAGCTTCAAAGGCAGCTGGTGGAGCTTCTTGAAAGTGGAGGTCTACACCTGCATAAGTGGGCGTCTAATGACGCGAAGTTATTGGAAGGATTACCTGAAGAAGACAAAGAAGAACTAGTGAGCATTGACGAATCTGGTACAAGTGAGATAGTGAAAACACTAGGCCTGATGTGGGAACCTGCATCGGACTGTTTGTTGTTTGCATCACTGCCCACGTCTGACGTCCAGAATCCAACGAAGAGACAAGTACTGTCCGTTATCTCCAGGATGTTTGATCCTTTAGGAATTGCAGCACCCGTGATATTGATCGGAAAGTTGATGATGCAAAGGATCTGGAAGGAAGATGTTGGGTGGGATGAAGTTATTACTGGACAATTGGAAAAGCAGTGGAAAGGTTTTCTGGAGTCCATAAATGGAGTGAATCAGCTTCGAATTCCACGTCGTGTAGTGGCGAATGGTGCCGCTTATTATGAGCTTCATGGGTTCTCGGATGCGTCACGAGATGCATATGGTGCTTGTGTGTACGTAAGGTCGATTATACCTGGACAGTCAGCAGAAGTGAATTTGTTGTGTGCAAAGTCGAACCTAGTTCCAAAGGCAGTAACCACGATCCCACGAAAGGAGCTATTGGCAGCCGTGTTACTAAAAAGGCTGGTGAAGAAAGTTTTGGAAACGATTCAGCTCAACTTTAAGGAAATAGTGTTGTTGTGTGATAGTCAGGTAGTGCTGGCCTGGTTGAAGAAGAGTCCAGAGTCGTTGGAAGTATTCGTCAAGAACAGAGTTTGTGAGATCAACACTACGGGCGAACAATTTGAAGAAGAAGAAAAGAAAGCTTGAATGGAGGAACGTGAGCGAAAGAAGAAGGAGCCTAAAACGAAGAAACCAACTCGGAAAACTAAAAATTGATGTTCCTTTTGTTGAAATGGTTAATTAATTACATACATACATATACGATATAAACCAAAATAAAGATTTTTTTTATCAGGCTCAAACTAATGAACTTTACAGAGCCGAGATTTCTTGATTGTTATGTAATACAATAAATCTTAAAATTACAGTCAAGAAGAACAAGACAATAAACACATTTTCTTCCGCTATGCAATATGATTCCTCCATTAGATTAGTTATGGTTTTGCCACTAAAGGGGGGAATCGCACTTCTATCGAAAAAAGGACGCAAATCATGGTCTTCACTTGTCCACTCATCACGAAATGGTTGCTTCCATGGTCGACAATAGGGTGTAAAAAAATGATAATTTCAGCCTACTCTACAACAATATACAATTTTTTTAATGTATATTTAATTGTAACCAATATCATATAATCAAATGAATTCGATTTTTTGCCCATAATTCAGCATAATTTATTATTCAGTATGATTTATTTCAATGGAAAACCTGAGTATAACCATAATAGGAACATACATATGGCGAAGAAAAGTGACCATATGGCCATAATGGGTGCTCTGCATAAGCATCATTATCTTAATTATAATTAAGTTTTATCCATCAATTCTTTACATTTGATAGGTTTATCTCAATAATTAAAATTTAAGCTTTACTATTTGGTATAATATATGGAGTCATATGAATTCATGTAAACAATTGAACTAAATAATTGATTTCGGC